ATGAAGAAGGACTTCAGTTTACATCCTGAGGGCTTCCTGTACATAAACCAGGTACAGCCCATCATGTGGGTGGGCCGAAGCTGGGGGACCACTGCTGCATGTAGACTCTGTGAGGGGTGTTTATCCCACTTCCCTTTCTCTCATGGAATAAACAAATACATATGTATACTCAAAATAATTTCAGGGAATAATATAAATCCAAAATAGGTGAGGTTTCTACATTTGTAGATAAGAGTAACTAAAAATTTGCTATAGGGACCAGCAGACGGCGAAATGGTTACATCGCTGGATTTCCATGTAGTCAAGTCCCAGACCCAGTGGCTTAAATCTCAGGCTGGATCACCATGTCTTACATGATGTGTGAAAAACAGACAAGATCCCCAGAGGAGAATGGAGGAGAAGGGATTGCAGCGTGACCATCCCCCCTGGGGGGTGATTTCTCATTTTCTGTCTTTCTCTCTGGTGAGAGCATGTGCCTTATAGCAAAAATATCTAAATAAATAAATAAAATTAGCTATAAGCCATTTCATTTGCATGATACGATAGTAAAGTATTCTATCTAAATTAATTTCATTTATTCAATATTCACAAGAATTAATTCTTCTAAAGTTGGTAAGAAAATAATACTCTCAAATAGAAAGTTGTCTAAATACAGTCTTAACATCTCTCCTCCTCTTTTATGTTCAAATGCTGTTTGCAATAATATAAAAGCAAATTTTCTTCTGACCTTCAAAATATGTGAAAGGCTTTTTTACTCATGATCTATTTTCTACATGAAAAAATTACGACTATTACCCAAAGTCTAACACACCTCATAAAGTTTGGGGAAAATCTGGCTTTTACATCCATTGAGAATATCTATAATTTTTTTCAGACATGGTGTCTGTCACAAACCTCCTGCCTCAGTTTCCTGACTCACTGCGATTACAGGCACTTACCACTGCCTGGCTTTTAGGGAGGGGGGAATTGGAACCTGAGCTCTCCGTGGCCACAGCCTGCCAGTAGCAGTGTCCAGCACATGACAAGGCCTTTACTAGTTTTTAAAAAGCCACAGTTTTAAGATTTAAAAACCAAGCTTATGACATATTATTAACTTGTACTTTAAAAAGAAAGCCAAAAAGCAGAAGGATAAAACTTCAAGAGTCTACACTTTGGGGGAAAGTTAAAAAATTTTTGATGAATCTGTTTTGCTATAATTTTTCCATTTATAAGCCACAGATTCATAAAATAGATACAATAAAGTTCCAACAAAACTGGCATTTTAAGATAAGATTCAATACTCATGTTAAAGTCTAACATTATTAAAGTATTCCTAGATAGTTATGTCAAACAATATTTAACACATGGTAGATCATATCTCATGTAAAAATGAGCCATATCATAAAAGGTTCTGAATACACTGCAAAGTATACAGAGTAAAATGTCTCATTCAACCTAAAAAGAAAACGGTTACACGGTTGGATAAAGGAGCAAAAGGAAACTCTCCGTACATATAGGATACAAAAGATGGCAAGGTGAACACAGCAAATACATGATCAGTTTGCAGACTCATAGCTGGGGAACGGTAACGACCCATGCTTTAAATGACTTAAAAGATTTGCTTCAGTGTAGTGAAATTTCAGTAGAAAATTTTTTACTATTAAATATTAGTGACAATTTACCAAAGGTCTGGGGCAGAAATTCATCTTTCCACCATCTATAAAAGTTTACCATATGGTAAAGTTAGACTGCTTTTCAGGCTTCTACAGTACTACTCAAATGTCGTGAGGTCTATTAACAACAAAAGATCAAGCAATTGGATTGTTAACAAATATTCCTGATGAAAATAAAACTACATTCATTAAAAAAAATTAAATGACCTAGAATATTTAAGACTATAAATATAAATATAATTTTGCTATTATTACTCTTTTCTCCTTAAGAAATAATCTCTTCTTTGAAATATTTCCTTATGGGATGATTTCCAGTATGACTCATAAAGTGATACTTCCACAAGGAGCAAGCATTACTCTTTAGGAACAGAAACTTTTCTTTAGAAAGATTATGAGAATTTTTTTCTTTTTGTCTTTTATTTTAAAAAAAGAAATGTTCTTAAATTATTTATTTAAATGTTCTTGATTTACTTGATAATTTAGTCATTTGGGAAGGCTATGAAACCTTAAGCTACTGGAGCTCTGAAAGCCAGAAAACAGCTTTCTTGGATGAGGAATTATTATTCTAACAGTTTTAAGTGTGCTTTCTCAAGAAAGAAGTAAAACAAATTATGCCAGTTATTTTCCTTCTTGCTCCTCAAACCAAACACATATCTTCATAAATCCTTTCAAAATATCACAATAGCATTTAGGCAGAAAGGACATGTCTTGTTGAAGAAATCCTTAGTTGAAAGTCAAATGTTTTATTATTAATATACTCGATGCATTCTGCCATTTGAACAGCTCCATATACCTTGAGTGTCTTAAAAACTCCAGTTTATCTGAAAATCTACTCTCCTTTCTCCCTGAAGAGATAGCATTCAATACTATTAAAATACATTTTTGGTTTCTAGATAAAAGGCATTTTGTACTTAAGAGAAATACTGCTCAGGGTCAATCTATAATAATAACCTCATAGAATGCCTTCCAATTCCAGTTCAAGAAACACTAGAGTATTCAGAGTTAAAAAACAAAAACAAAAACAATAAAAACCTATAAATTATACATAAAAATACTACTGTCAAAAATGTACTGTGTCAAGAATTTTATCAGCAGCATTTAAAAAACAAGAGCTCATTAGACTTTAAACGGCAAACATGGGAGGGCAGATTCAGATCAGTCACAGTAATACAACATTTTTAAAATCACACTATGTTATCTGAATCCCTAGCAGCTTCCTAGAGGTAATCTACTAAAAGCTGACCCCAAGTGGTTGTGGGGGCAACTGTTCATTCTTCCCACAGTTAAGAGTCAGTATCTGGCTCTCCTTTCTCCCCGTAGTATTACATTTGTATACCATTCTGTACGAAGCAAGACGACTCCACATTATATAGCACCAGAGACTATGTCATCCCATACAAAGAAAGTAATTCTGAAATTTTTACAGCAGGATTCCTGGGAAGGCACTTAAGGAGACTTCTTTTTTCTACAATAGGCTCCTTAATACTATCCTCTTGGAATATAAATTAATAATAATTAAAAAAAAAAAGGACAAGAAGGTATATAACCCATACCCTGGCTGATGAAACAGGCAAAATAAATTTCCTTTCTAAACAGGCAAATGTTACAACTTTAAGAAGACAATAAGAGAAATAGATGGACAAGAATGTTTATAAAGCAAGCACAGCAAATGTGACAATGGGCTACTGACTTTAAGGACAAAAAAACGAAAGTAAATATCATTTTCATTTTCAGACTTAAAAATTCTTGAAGGTATTTTTGGATAACTAGGCAAAGAAAATATTTTCACATATTTTATTTTCTTTAAAGTCATAAGCTTTGAGTGTTCATTATTTGACTCAAATAAAGAAGATGACAAAGGTATTACCATTAGTTCAGGCTATAAATTGACCACTTGTAAGACTTCACTTAAATTATGCTTTGGAATTAAACAAAATTAGAATATTCTTCAAGTTGTGCCTTGGAGAAAAAGTCAATTAAGTTATAAATTCAAAAGTCCAAAATTTAAAGTTTTCCTTGTAATAAATTTGATATTAAAACATCATTCATAATATTAACTCCTAACACTGTTGCTAAGCTCAGTTCTAATAATTCAGTGATTCTAGTCTTAAGAGAAGCATTCCAGGAAAATTATCTTTACCTACAAGATATTAGGGAAAAAAACTCTTTCCTACTAGAGTATCAGCATTTTATGAAACTGTGAAAAAAAAAAACAAAACTTATTAAGAAGGCAAGTGAAACTTTGGCAATCATTTTTCCCTAGCTCATGAACCAAAAAGCAAGTAACATAAAACTTTAAAATACTATTCTCCCTTAAGTAATCAAATACAGAAAATCACTCATGAAACAAATTCACTATCAAAAATTCAACCTTTACCTTAAACCTCAATAGAAATATCCTTACTATGGAAAAATCATCTATTTACTTATCTCCACTCATATAATGAAACTAGGAATGCTATTGAGGTTGTGACTGGACTGTGAATGTGAACAATGTTTTCATATCACTGGGATATTGGTTAGTTAGAAAAGGAATGCACAAACAGATCTGCAGCTAGCCTAAAAGGGGCCTTTTATGTGAATAGGAAGGGCTGCCATTTCAAGCCTTTATTGCCAACAGTCAGAAAACTGATAATTAGCAATACCGTGATTCTGACAAAGTAACTGGCTACCTTGAGTTGTGCACAATTATACTTGGATTTTTTTCACGATTCCTTATTCTGTTACCCTCTTTTCCTATGTGTTATTGTGCCTAAGTTCACCACCTCAGAGAGTTAAAGATTTCTTAAGGCCAAAAAAATTGCTCTCAACAAACCTCCCTATATAAGAAAATGACAGTTGAAAAGATCAGAAATATGCCACTAATAACAATAATTATGATGCTCCAACTTGAATACTGGACCTAATTGTTTCACAAGGTTGTCTGATTTTGAAAGTTACTATATGAACCTCACTATTTCAAATATGAACAGAACTTTTTAACTGACAAATACAGAAAACAATGTAACTGGAGATGTCTTTTCAGTTCTAAAATCTTCAGATAAAGTACGTACATAAGATCTTGGCAGCTTTTACAGAACCCCAGAACCAAAAAGTAGAAGCACTTCCAATACCTAGAATTGTATTTAACTAGCTGCATCAGAAAAATCATCATCCCAGAAGTCAAGGCCAGATTCTTCCTAATTATGCAAAGATGAATAAAGTGAACCATACCAACAGCAAACTACATTGCCAAATATTGACACTGCTTAAAATCTTTAAAATTCCCTGATTTCCTAGTGAAGGAGAACCTCAAAAATTTAAGAATTCAAATTTATAAAAATAAATACCACTCTGACACTCAAGGGAAATCTTCACTTTAAGGCCTTTGTCACAAATCTGAATCTTTATTGTTCTGAAATAAATGTTATAAACATAACTTGAAACAAAAACTCAATATTCAGTCTCAGAAGAGGTGTGGCTCAACGCCTAGCACATGTAACAAGAAAACCTCCTTTAAAAAAAAAAGGAAAAAAAAGTACTATGAGAAGTCTTTTATATGAATGAAAATGCACCCTTTGGATTTTTTTTCCCCTCATCTCATTAGCTTGTATACACATGGGAATCAAAAGGTTTGCATTTTCTTTACAAGAGTTCTTGCTATAATGTTTGACGAACTTTTTGCCACTCAACAAATTCATCAAGAAGAACAGGCCCTAGAAATAAAGAAACAATTTTTGTTAGCATTCAGTCATCTAAGCCCTCCAACTATAAAACCAATTCCCTACAAGCTCTTCAATGACAGAGGACTGACACTTCCCTTCTTTACATGTTTTGCTTCCAGTCATCTCTTTTAAAGATGTATTCTTAGCCTTTAAGAATTTTGCCCTTAAAGATTCTGAAAGACCTTTATAGAACCCTATTCCTATGAAGGAATATAGGTGTGATTATGCCAGATTTTCTGATTTGCCAAACAAATCTTGAAGTTGAATTTCACATAAAATCTCCAAATTTCAGGGCCAACACCATAGTTTAGCAGTAACCTATTGCTTAAGAGAAGCCAGATCCTACACAGTAACCACAGTTCAAATTCCTAGTCTAGTCAGCCTGAAAACATGCCAAGCACACATACAAGTGCCCAAGACTGAAGCATGACCAAACCCTTTGGCAGTGCTTCTCTCTCTTTCATGTGTACACAAGCATTCTATTAGTATCTATTATATATAGTTATATATAACATATATATATATATATTAACCCCCACCCCCACCCCAGTTTTAAATGTCTCAAAAAATACAAATATACACATCAGCAGGCCATATATAGACCCTGGGTTGCCAGTTTACAGTTGCAAGGCACTTCTTTAAAGTATTATTAACTTTTACACTATTTTATAGTAGGAGAACATAATTTAACTAGGGAAAAATAAAGTTAACCCTTCTTCTGAATTTATTCAGTGTTACAGAAATAAGTATATAATTGTAGTTTCTATTTGTAGCAATATACCTTTCAATGTAACCCTTCTGAACATTAAAATAATGCACGTGGGCCAGTTGGTAGGGAAGTAGTTAAGGTAGCTAGATCTCACATGGCCAACCATGGAGTGTGAGTCCCGGACTCAGGGCTTGCGAAACATAGCAGGTGCGACAGGTGCCTGTTCAAGCATGCCCAAAATCCGGAATGGAGGGAGAAATGGAATAAGAGTGTAGTGTAACTATTTATCATGGAGGGTGCTTTCTCACTCATTACCACTCTCTTTCTAGCTGCCCTGAGCACCCACGTGGCCTCTGGCAAAGGAAAATAAAAATAAACAAGAAAAAAAATAAAAGCAATGTATGCAACCAAAATCCTGGCAGGAAATGAAAACTCAATTTACAGTTCTAGACAGTTAGATTAATTATCTAATTAATTTATCATTACTTGAAAATTCTATTTCATAGCATTCTAGCCTTTCCACTGAAGACTATGGATAGATTTAATTTGAAGGATTGAAAAATTAATATTTTGGAGACCAGCAGTTAGCGTAATGGCTATGTTGCTGAACTCCTATGTGGCTGACCACGGTTTGAGTCCCGGACCTGGTAGCTGAAACTCAGGCCAGGCGCGTGTACATGCGCGCCCAAGATCCTGAGAGGAGAATGGAGGAGAAGGGATTGCGGTGTGGCCATCCCCCCCAGGGGTCGGTTTTTCACTTTCTGTCTCTCTGTATCTCTCTGTCTTTCTAGCGAGTGCACGCGCCCTATAGCAAAAACCTCTCCAAAAAAAGAAAAGAAAAATTAATATTTCACTACCAGTTTACTGAGAACCAATTCATAATTTTCAGGGAACAGTTATTTTTGACATAATGTGGCACATTGTTAATGAGTACTACGATATTTACTTTAAAACTTTTTCTAATGTACTGTCTTGCTTTCATAGTTTTAAAAACCAGAAGTATACTTTTGTTCCACAAGAGATGCCAAGAAAAGACAAGAATAAAAGCACAATTTCAGCTTCTAGAAAATTTAGCTACAATGCTTGGTTATTGAGGAAATGAAAACATTTTATTTGCCAGCATTCGTTTTATAATATTGCTGAATCTAAGCCTGTGTTTCTACCTCCCCCATAACTCTCACATCATTAAATAATTAAAGTTACTGTTAGAAAGCTTAAAATCTATGGGAACCAGCAGATGGTATAATGGTTATATCACTAGATGCCCATGTGGTCAACTGCAGCTCAAGTCAGACGTGGTGGCTTAAAACTCATGCCAGGCATGTGTGTGTGCGTGCCCAAAATCCCAAGAGGAGAATAAGGAGAAGGGATTGTAGCGTGGCCATCTCCTCTAGGGTGAGAGTGGTTTCTCGCTTTCTGTCTCTCTGTCTCTCTCCATCTCTCCGGTGAGTACCGGATAGCAAAAATCTCTCTCAAATAAAAAGAAGTTTAAAACTTTCATGATAAATGTATTCCACTGCATATTCTCCTTTAATGTTTTCAGTAACTTTATTTTAACAGGAATGTTATATTATACTTACAAGCACCATCTTCGTCGTAGTTACTAAGATCTGCATGGACTGTTCTGCTGAATTCTAATACATTGTACCACTGATCTTTATTCATAACACGATACTTTGATTGCTGTGAAAAGTTATATACATATTTGAATTATAGCACAAACATTGTTTATTAGAACTTGATAAATCTAGTTACAACTTTTTTGTTATTTGGTTTTTCCTAAAACATTTATTCTTCTTTTAAATTATTAGTGCTCTAGGGAATCTTCAAGAGTACCTATGTAAACAACATCATCTATTTTTTTAAATTTAATTTCCTCTCATTTGAAGGATAAGAACATCAATGATTCTAACAGTAAGGATAAAACTTAATTAATTTCTACATATGTATTGGGTCTAGGAGCCTTGAGGATACCAAAATCCTCAGATGCTCAAGTTCCTTATATAAAAAGGCAAAGTACTGATATTTGCATATAAGCTACATAAATCCTCCTATATACTTGAAATCATCTCTTGATTACTTATAGTACATAATACAGTATAAATAATATATAAATAGTTCAGAATAAAAGAAAAAAAATGCATACCTCTAGGTATTGGTAAAATACTGAAAACAGTGGCCATGTCCTCCCAAGCAGAAGAGCTAACATAGATTTTGCAGTATCAATATCAAGGCTTCTCTGATCTTTATCCTAAAATGTAAGTGAAAAAAATTCCCCTAAGTGTGGTCTTAAGGCGAAGAAATATTAAAACAACAAAAAATGAAAACAGTACTTACCCTTGCAAAATCAAAGGCATATCTGTAGATATTCTTAAATGATGCAATATCATTCAACTGTGAGCGCAAAAAGTCAAATTTGTTCTGTAACTTTTCTGTGCAGTCACATCTTCAAAAGAAAAATATTAAACAAATTATATAATCAAGAAAATTAAATAAGGCATCTTTAAGGAGTTAGAAGAAATGCATTAAGAGAAAAGTGAGTGTATTTATGAAATTTTTTTAGGTTTAAAATTTTCTGACTTCCAAAAAACTTGCTGGTTTATATCTACCAAAAGGAAAATGGGGGAAAAATAAAATTTAGAATCAATAAAATTTTGCTCCAATGATTTTTCTTAGGAAAAAAAATAAATACAAATCAATCAAAAAATTCCAATAAAATCCAATACAATCTTTAAAAAGATTAAAATATACTTTTATCATATATAAGATTAAAAACCTGGCAGAACAAATGCAATTAGTCAGGTTTCTGTCATGTGTTTCTTTGGAAAGCACTTAGGCAAAGGCTTGGTGAAAGAGAGATTAGTTATGACTAGTTTAAAACTTTTAGAACACAGAATGAATAAATTATCTTAAGTGTCTAGTAACAAATCCAGACCCCTACATTTTTAGTAAACAAAAAAGGACAATCAGTAGAAGCATCTAACTTTCAATGAAGTACATATGTAAAAGCATGAAAACAACTTACATGTGTTATTTTTAAGGACAACACATAGAACATATGCAGCTAAATAGATGAAATGCTCAAAAATCTTGACTGGCTTTATAGTTTCCCCAAGGTTGAAACATTCTATTTAGCCAGAGGCAAGATAGATAAGGGCTTTCATAATTGGGTACAAATCTCTACTCCGTCTCCAGCTACTCCCCAGTATCTTCAGCATTCTGACAAAATATTAGTGATCTAGACCTCACATTTTGTCACCTCTGAGAAACAATCAAACTCCCCTCCATCAAGTCAGCTGTGTCATTTATTGTGACCACAGCACTACAGTCAAAACTGAACTGCAGTTAAGTACTGTACACGGTATACTGTAGACACCTGATATTCTCAGATTCAATAGGACTTGCACTATCCTAAATCAAGGATGTGAAGGTCTATAACGTGTAGTTAACAGGTTATTTTATGATGGTATACACATTCTAGATACATTTCTAATGTTAATTAAACCTTGAATTTCTGCAATAAACCAAATTTGGTCAGGTTACCTGTTTTAGATATTGCTCGATTTTTTTTCTTTCTTTGGTTCTGTGTGAAACTGACTTACAGATTTCATTCTTACACAATCTCCTTGCTAGTTTTGTTTTTCTTTTTGGAGAGGTTTTTGTTGTAAGGTGTGTGCACTCACCAGAAAGACAGAGACTGAAAGTGAGAAATCACCCCCTGGGGGGATGGCCACACTGCAATCCCTTCTCCTCCATTCTCCTTTTGGGATCTTGGGCACGCAAGCACACGTACCTAGGGTGAGTTTAAGCTACCGGGTCCGGGAGTCGAATCGCGGTCAACTACATGGGAGTCCAGTGACATAGCCACTAGGCCAATTGCTGGTCCCCTCCTCCTTGCAAGTTTTGATAAGAAGCTTACGGTACTAAGACTCAGAAAATGAAGAGTACTACCTTTTTTCTACGGTCTGAACAAGTTTATATAACCTTGGAATTAACATTTTTGTGAACTCAGATGATGAAAAACCAAATGGGCCTATTTACTGAGGGATGAAAGAAAGACTTAACTACTAAACAAACATTTCTAATGGCTATAGAACCATTCAGTTTCTATTTGTTTTTTCATTCTGTCTTGGTTGTTTATAAGTTTTTGATAATTGGATTATGTCACATATAACTTACTTAAGTATGTTGAAATATGCTAGAAAGTGATTAGTGGTAATTTTCTCATCTGCATTAACTTGTTAATTTTGCCTTTTCATTGTTTTTCTTGACAAATCTTACAAATCTTACAAATTCATTTCAGAGAGCACTTAAGACTATAGATCTCCCTCTTGGTATGACTTCAACTACAACTGCAAGTTTTGACAAATAGTATACCTGGAAAAGAGTTGTTTAGGAGTAGGGAGAAAAGTTGTACTGAACATTTTATATATATATATAAGATGAATACAAGAAGACTCTGAATGGTAGAGACCTAAGGAACAGCATGGGGGTGAGTTCCTTAGATTTCTTTTTGCCTCATAAATCCCAGACTTAAGAGTCAAAAAGGCCAGCAAGCATGAAACATCAATGGGAACACACAAAAAAGTGTGCCAAAGTGTATGCTCCTTTTATTTTTAGTCTCTTTACTGATTTGATTTCTTCCATGAGACACAGAGAAATGGAGAAAGACAGAGAGACAGTGAGAGAGACAGAAAGAGAAAGAGTCAGCACACCTAATAGTCTTGACACTGCAATTCACCATTGGCTTCAGTGAGAGCTGGACCATGGACATGTGTATCCTGAAGATCTTAGGACTAACAGATGGCGTAATGGTTATGTCACTGGACTCCCACACAGTCAACCATGGTTTGAGTCCTAGACAGGCCAACTTAAAACTCACACTGGGCATATGTGCCCAAGATTCTGAAAGGAGAATGAACTGCGGAGTGGCCATACCCCTGGGGAAGTACTTTCTTTCTCTCTCTGCTGAGTGCACATGCCCTATAGCAAAAATCTATTTAAAAAGATAAGACAAAATTATGGAGATCTCTGCACCCAAACCCAGAACCTTCCCATGTGGGTCAGCCTTGCATTGCATTTTACTGCTGCACCACTGTCCAGCCCCAGGCTACTCTTTCTCTACCCAAAAGACCAGGAAAGAAGCACCTGAGCAAGAAGAAACTCTCTGAAAATATAAACACTCTACTCTAGTCAAATACCACTTAAGAAATAGTGGTCCAACTCCTATCTGTGCCAGCAAAGACTGTATGAGAACTTAACATTTCTACCTTACTGGCATATAAAGTGGCCTCTCTAATTCATGCAGTATTTTTAGAAACTACATGGGGACCAATATGAACATCTACTTCTACCAGGTACTAAGGAGCAGTCAATCCTCCTTTTCCCTGGAGTGATGCAGAGGTCTAGTGAAATTTCACCATCACTCAGTGGTAATAAGTCATCACTCCAGTGGCATTAGTGCAGCCTATGTAGGGAACAGTGACAAAGATATTCCACCCCCTTTAAAACAAGAATGTATTATGCGGATCTGAACTCTCACCCTGCCTACCAGTAACAAGGAATATCTCTTGTGATATCATGACAGAGATATACAGAACTATCCTACATAGATTGATTGATAGGAAAGAAGGAGAAATGAAAAAACCCAAGGAATGGAGCTGGCAGGTGACATGGTGACTGAGGCACTGAACTCCCACCCACATGGCTGGTCATGGTTTGAGTCCTGGATGTGGTGCCTTGCTTTATCGCTTTCCTTTTCTTTTTCTGGTCAAATTAAAATACATAAATAAATAAATAAATAAATAAATAAATAAATAAATAAATAAATAAATAAATAAATAAATAAATAAATAAATAAATAAATAAATAAATAAATAAATAAATAAAGTTAAATAAAATAATTTAAAAATAAATAAATTAATTAAATTACTCTTTTTTTCAAAGAATTATTTTCTTTAAATTTATTCATTATTATTATTTTTAATCTGACCAGAGAGGGACAAAGTGAGAGAGAGAGGGAAAGTAAGAACGCAAGCTGCCAGGTCTGGGACTCGAATCACAGTTGGCCACGTAGAAGACCAGCACCCTTAACCACCATGCCACTTGCCAGCCCCAGATAAATAATTCTTAAAAAAAAAGAAAGAAAGAAGAAAAGAAATCAAAGGAATATATGTATATACATATAAATCTCAGAATTATGTGAACTAGGTAAGGTCACAGGATATAAGATAAGAACAAAAATCAAGTGTGTTTCGAACATGTGACACTGAAATTAAAAAAAAAATTACAATGGCTCAAAATAAAAATGAGAATCTTAGATGTAATTTTAATAAGAGGTGCATAGGACTTGCATACTGAAAACTGCATTAAGACTGATGAAATAAATTAAGCATCTAAAAAGATCCCAGGAGCAGAATGGAGGAGAATCAACTGTGGCATGACTATTCCCCCTTGGGGGATGATTTCTCACTTTCTGTCTCCTCTGACAAAAGATGAGCACACACACTCTACAGCAAAAATCTATCTTAAAAAAAAAAAAAAGAGTAGAAACTTAATCTGACTATAGTATTTAGAGGTAGGGTCTTTGGGAGGTAATTAAGATTAGGTAAAGTTATTAGACTATGGCCCCATGACTTAACAGTAATGGCTTTATAAGAGGAAGAGAGACCAAAGCTGACATGCACTCATGCCCTCTTTATGACAACCTGCAGTGCCTCAGGACAAGTTCCTTCCACCAAGAAGGCCCTAACCAGATGTAGCCTCAACCCTGGACCTCCAGAACCAAGAACTGAATAAATCTTAATTCTTTCTTTATAGATTATCCAGTCTGTAGTATTGATATTAGTAACGGAGAACAAACTAAAACAATGTAAAAGGGATTCAGTGAAGAAAAGAACTTTTTCAACAAGTGGTTCAGATCAAGTAGACATCCACAGCCAAAGATAAAAACCAAGACCCAAGTCTCACATGTTTTACAGAAACTAACTCAAAATATATCACTTAAATATAAAATTAAAAAAACATAAATCTTATTAAAAAATAATGGAAGGCAAAATTTTCAGGACATAGGCTAAGCAAAAATTTCTTAAACTTGATATTGAAACCACAATCCATAAAAGGAAAAACCAGTAAATGCTAATTCATCAAAACTAAAAACTTGCTCTACAAAACACCATGTTAGGATGAAATGACAGGTTATAGAATTGGAGAGAGTACTTGCAAAACACATATTCAATGCAGGATTCATATTTAGAATAGAGACCTCTCAATACTCAGTAGTATAAATATT